CTCACCACCGTCAACCCTAAATTGGCCAAGAACGTCTTCCTAAAAATTAAATGTTATTGCAGTGACATCTGTTTTTGCTCGAAAGCAGAACGTCAATCAATTCGAAATCTACCACCCAACTTCACCACGTGCTTACCTGAGATTAGCGGCACCATGCACACACTCGAGATCAGTGTTAAAATCGCGCTTATTCCACGACTTGATGACCTATGGACGACTAACAATTTTCAAAACCTGAACCAAATTTCGATCATGGTTACAAACCTTAAAATCTACAAAGGAACTGACGACGTAACCCCGCCCGGGATGGGGATGCTTAAATTTCAACTCCTCCCAAAGCTAAATTTGTTTTCCTTCAAGGCATTAGACGGGAGTAAAAGAGCCATTTCTGGCTGGAAATCCATTTGTCAAGGACTCCTAAATGCTGCCCCAAACCTAGAACAATTCTACCTTTACGAGAATTTCTGCCTGGATTTGACCCCGTGTAAAAAGCTGAAGGAATTTTCGCATCAATATGAAGAATCTTGCGACCCTTTTACGTTTGACTTTGTAGAGCTGGATATCCCCGAATTTACTGGAATGTTGGAAGATTGTCGGAATTCACTGGAAAAATTAACCTTGAACTATGTGGCAGAAAACATTAAAACTATGAAGGTAAGGTTTTCTAATACGTACTTTATTTTTTTTTCGCTATATTTACTAGGAAGATTACCACATCTTCTTACGGCGGCACAGTGTGCCCGTATAAATAAAATTTGCCGAAAATTATTTCCTTGTTTGTTTTGAGTGCCACTGTATTTTGGAAATGGTTAATGTGTCGGTTCGCCAAAAATGTCGTGATATGTCATGACATTTTTGACATTTGCAACATTTATTAAAAATATTTTTACACAGCTGAATATTGACTTCCCCAATCTGACCCATCTCGAACTCAAGGCCGCGGACTTGTTCACAATTGAGGACTCCTTGAACATCATCAACCTTCCAAAACTTACCCATTTCGGTATTGATTCCTTCGAACCGTGCGAAATTTCCGAGCTGATTGAATCCTATAATTTTCCCCACACTGGGATAAAGTCCTTAAGCCTTCATTCCACCCACTATGCGGGCAGTGTCGACCAGGTTGAACCAACCGCCGCGGCCAAATTGGTCTACCTTTTCCCTGCCGTGAATGAATTCAAATTCGACTTGGAATTAAGGATCGACACTTCCAAGGAACCCGACATGGACTGTGCGATTTTAAGGGAGATGATGAGGTCCTTGAGTGGCTGGAAATTGACCCAGTGGAAGGTGATTGTCACGTATAATTTCTACAGTAAGGCCATGATCAATTCATTTGGTGGCTTTCCTCTGTACGACGACCTTAAATCTGGCATCGTAGTCGCCATATTGGAGGGAATGGCGGATTGGAAAGGTTGGCATTGGAAATTTCTAGGAAAATATTTTCTCTTTAAGTTTCACTAAATAACCATACACAGTTCAGATCTTTTTATGACCCATGCAGTTTGATAGATCAATTATCCATAATTTTTGTTATGGTACTTGGCCGTTTGGGCAAAATTAAGTAAATTACAGGCCCACAGGTTCTCGAAAACGTTCGGTTTCTACCAGAAAAACTGCTTTGAACGCGCCCTCTCTTAGAATCCGAGCCTTCTCTCGAACCTGTTGCACACGTACATACATCAGATTTTTCCGCCACAATCTAAAAATGTGTCAGCCACGCTAGACTTAATTGTTTAGTCAAGTTACGTAGATCTGTCAAGCTTCATTCGTCAAAAAATACATATCTGGGTTGAACATGGATTGCACTCGTATTGTAAAAATCCTAAATTTAAGGTTTGACGAACACATCCCTGAAGTTTATTTGTCTTGATGACGACTCAAAATTTAAATGGACGGACAGAATGCTAGCCGCTTTCCTGTCATGCACAACAATTCGAGACTTGACTTTGCCACTTCGGGTACATTTCGGGTTCTTTTACATCAGCAAATCAAGTTGCAAAAAGGCGATAAGTAGCGAATTTTATTGTGCTAATATTTATTTACAGATACGCAGCAAAATTCGGAAAAGTGTTGAAGCATTTATTGCGGAAAATCGTTTGGCAATTACCATTTAAATCAACTAATTTCTCCAACTTTACTTCGGGTACTGAAATACAGGATTTTATATTTTAGGCGAAAAATCTATAAAACGCATTTTAAAATAAAATTGGACTTGGGAACATATCTGTGTTTTGTATTTTAAAGTCAAGGATTTTTCCCATGCATGAGTTGTCATGAGTACACCCATTAAAATAGAAAGTACAGTATATTTATTGGCATGCTCAAGTTCTGAGGCTGCCATGATAAAAAGAAATCCCCTCTTATTATATTAACTATTTTATGCAAATGATCACCGAACTGAACTTTGTTTGGTTCAACAATTGCGTTTAGATATTTTCTGTTTTCTAATTTAATACAAATACAAATAACCTACTCTTCTAAACATAATGGAAAATACCTAATTTAGTATAATTTATTAGGAAACTGACTTAAACGGGTCACAGCAATAAAAACAGTAAAAAAAATGTTCATCTTTGAGTAAAACAATTTATTGGTATTTATATTCACCCTGTAAGTAGCTAGTCGTCACCACTAGCAACTTACAGGGTGAATATTATTTTCAACATTTAGAATTTTGCATAGTAACTGCATCCATGAAATAAACGGTACAATTTATAAAACTGTATCTTTCTTCATCTTCTCTTCTTATTTGATTAAATGCAACATTCCACATTCGCCGGGTATCCGGGGCAACTCCAAGCTCCCCCACAACGCGACATACAGGAGTACATTATAGATCGGTCATTGCAATTCCAATTCGATGATCCGCAACATGCAGCTGCAAGTAGTAAATAATTAAGCTTTGTAAATATTATTACTTTTTAAAGCTATAAAACTAAACTTCAATATTTCAGTGATTAAAATTTTCGTCGTTTTTAATAAAATTAGGAAAATATTTAAATTTCCAAAAAAAATCATTTGGCGTTTTTCTCAAATTATTTAAGGGAATTAACTCACATTCAACATTATTGCACAAGTGGGTCGTTACCATAATTAATATGAACAGGAAATAAAAATTAATTGATGTCAAGTTCATTTTGGAAAGTTAAACAGTTGGATATGTTTCTAAGCAGTGTGATTCTTATAGTTGGCTTAACTCGCCCGTGTTAGTCTGACCGAAGGGGAGAGAAGTGGTGTATGTACATGAGTATTATTCGACGAGGTGCCGCCAAACTTGGCTCGGGGCAAAATATCCGGCTGCTTTTTAAATGCGCTGGGATGTAAAATTGAAATATTATTATTTAATTTGGTTTAACAATAGTACATAAAATTTTTACAGGGCTGTTTTTGAATTAGGTATGTATACATGGCATTTCAAAGGAACGTATGGTGATTTGATTCAACTTTGCACGGGTTTTACTTAAATTTGTTAATTGTTGTCGTTATGCATAAATAAATATTTTTAAAACTAATTTTTAGCCCAAAAATGGATTTTTCTACGGAGAGATTGACAATTTGAAATAGTTTTTATGTCCATTGCTCCGTAAATGTTCAAAAATGCCCTAGCTGTACGTGTTGACAAAGATCTTTGTTTCGACCTTCCGCTCAAAATAAATTTTAAATAAATAAATATTAAATAAATATTTATCGTGAACTTATGTACCTAAAATCAAAATTAATAAGCAGAAATTGTACCTGATAATAATTGGATAGCTACTTTATTGGAGCGGGAAAATGTATATGCGACACACATCACGCACAAGTTTTCATGATAAATTAAAATTTTCTGAAAATAATAAAGATTCCAAAGGTTGAGCAGGTGTGCATAGATACATAAATATTATATTTTCACATGTCATGTACATATGTATTTATAACTTGTGTACATACATATGTACATATGTATGTACATACTTACATGTATACGTGTACTTAACTACCCATGTATGTATGTATGAAATTGTTATAATTTCTACGCAAATTAACAAACATGGGTAACAAATATGTACGTCTGCAGGTACATCCATAGTGATATAAACGGTAGTCGACTTTAAGTAAGAGATACATTTGCAAACCAATACTCATCCTTTGCGTGTGTAGATATCTGAGATTTTTTTTTACAAAAATACTTAATATCCTACATTTAATCCGGCTTTGTTTTCTAGCTATTTGGTAGCCTTGATTTTGTTTACTAATTTCGAAATGTGGCCGAATTTCTGGAGGATTTTCATCTTCATTTTGTTCGTGTCAGTAGTTTTTCACGGCCAAGCTGGAGTTATGTATAGATACGTTAATATTTAATTACTAAATATTCATGGAAGCAAAGTATGAACCCTTTTTTGTTAATTAATATCGTTTTTTTTATTATGCAGGTAATTGTTGTGGTTGGAGTGGGTGGAACTGCGTAGATCAGAGTGGGAAGTATACTTGTGATTCTCGATGTGGGGAAGGTTGGAGCTGTCCGGGGTATCCTGCGAACGTAGAGTGTTGTCAGTGAATATTTATGCGATACGGCATATTTTGTACATGCAATGCGAATCATTATTCGAGGCGTATTTAACAAGATGTACGATAAAAGCTCCAAATGTATAGCTGTAAAGACATTAATATTAATTTGTTTTTTTGATTATTAACACATTTAGGGGGTTTGCAACCCTTTATTTTCATGATTATTCCAAACACAACTAAACTAAAAAAATGGAATAATCATCATAAATACATACGAAAAAAAATTATATGTAAGCAGCCCAGGCCTGATAAAATCATGCAGAAACCAAGTTTGTAAAATATTTCCATATTAATTAACTCAAACTAGCGCTTATTAATTTTATATTTATGGATCAATAAGTGACAAGTGTTGTTGTTTCTTGAATAAAATGCTTACTCCGCTATTTATATGTTTACCACAATTTGTTCCCTGAATATGTAAGGTGCCTTTTAATATGATAGCTTTATCCCAGTTCTGTACGACTTTATTAGAACAAGAATGAGTGTGTTTATTTAGTAAAGTTTATTTCTGCATTAACACCATCTCATTTCAGTCTTATCATCGTAAAAAATTTATACTTACATACACAGAGATTTACATATTTATGTATGTAAAATTACAAAACTAAATACATCCTTTGTTCAATAACAATTTTTAAAAAATTCCACATTTTTGCCATGTATTCTTATAACTAAAAAAATTTCCCAAATTTTATTGCACTTGTTTCCACGTAGTTTTGTCTTTCCATCGGGTGGGTAGGTTGACTTTTAAAAATTGCAATATTGTCAAATATGACATCCTAATGATCCTACACTCCAACAATTCCGAAACCAAGATTCGTACTCGTACATGCTTTGTCTTATTTCTTGAGATTTATTTCCACTGATGGACGTGGTTTTTTGCATGAAGGTCTTACTCTGGACAAGGGGCACCCTCCTATGTCCAACTTCCGTCATGGATTCGAACGCAGAGGCAAAAACGTTAGTGTAGGAATTCCCCTGTTTCTCTCCCCTCATAAATGCTCGGACCATTTGATTCTTAAATGACATGATGACCTGTAAACAAAAAAGGATCATAGAATGAAATAAGTTTCGCAAAAAAATTGGCAATTACAAAATATTACAAAATCGTTCACTAATATTTTAAAATTATTTACCTGTGTTGAGAAAACTCTGGATATTTTTTGGAGATCTATGGAAAAATGGAGCGAACCTGTCAACCAAAAGTGTAAGAATGAGTAGGAATTTCGCAAAGTTGAGATTATGTTATACATGCATATGCAGTTGCTACCCTACCAAACTGGGACGAATGAAGGATTTGCACATTCGCTGGTCACACTGCAACCTCGTGTACATACACACGCACACATACACTGACTGCAGTTTGGTTTAGACATAGTTTACAGCAATGCTCGTGCTGTTCACGTGAAAACTTTGCAAAAAATCTACCTCAACGTGAACCCAGTACTGGGACAAGATGACGAGAATGTAAAAGTTGGTTGGGTTGAGATACTCTGCTTTTCCACGTTTCCTCCACATGTTTTGTCCCACATGGATTGGCTGATTTGGTAGGCTTGGCTTGTAGTATATAGTGGAAAAGTGGTGTGTGGTCGGTGAGTGAACTTTCAGTTTCAAGGGTAACGATAAAAATTACGGGATGGAAAAAAGTGAATGCAATCTGATTTTCAGTTCAGGTTATACATATATAAATAGGTTGAATATTTATGGAAATATGCACATAGGCTGGATTAAATTGAAACTTAAGTAATGGAAAACTGTTTGTGTCAATTCTGTGTGTAACTTGTGTGGGGTCTGATTTATTTTCCTTCATATGCAGTGATGTAATAAATGCGTGTGTATGTAGGTACACATTCTTACGCGTTTCCTTCCAGAGGTTAACGATTCGAAAGTATTGCATTAAACATGGAAAGTATTTTATGTATACCTGAGTGTATGTACATATGTATGCACATTTATACCAAGCAACAAACAGGTTTGGAATTCTGTACCTATTACACACACACACACACATATGTACATAGGTACATACATATGTATGCAAGGATTAGCTGCACCGCTAACCTATTTACATAAAAAAAATTGGGGATTAAAAATCATAATTTCATCAGCTGGGAGGAATAAAAGAAACGATTATTTGTTTTTTTTATCGCAGATGTAATGTATAATTAGGCCTACATAAATATGTAGGTACGTACATAGGTGTGTTCAGGGGGACAATATTGAGGCACCAGTTCTTATTCAAGTTGTCTTTCTACACTGCCAATGCGAAGCAGTGAAGTGGTACGCTCGGATTTTAATGGGACCAATTTTAGTTTCTTCATCAGAAAAAATAAGCGGACCCGTATTATTGCTATTTCGATAATGCACGAATTTAAGCGCGTGGCGGACATTGCAAATATTTTTTCAGCCAAAACATCCGACATATTAAAATGTCTGTAACTTTTTGAATTTTGGTCGCGAATTCAGAAAACTAAAAACATGTTTGATTAGAATTTCGTCCTCTAGAATATGAAAATCCATACTCAAAAAATTTTGAAATTTCGAATTTTTTCGGGATGTTACAGACTTTGAAATTCAAAAATTAGCTACAAATTCGAAATTTCAAAAAAAAATTGAAACTGAATTTTTATATTCTAGAGGACGTAATTCTAAGCAAACATGTTTTTAGTTTTTTGAATTCGCACCAAAATTCAAAAAGTTACATCCATTTTGATATCGGATGTTTTGGCTGAAAAAATATTTGAAATGCCCGCCACGCGCTTAAATTCGCGCATTATCGAAAAAGCAAAAATACGGGTCCGCTTATTTTTTCTGATAAAGAAACCAAAATTGGTCCAATTAAAATCCGAGCGTACCACTTCACGGCTTCGTATTGTTAGCACTATGTACATACGATCAACTTCGCATCACCACATAAGAACCAAGTACCAAACATTCGTTATGTACAGCACACGTCTCCGGTTACTTTGTTAGATATTACGTTGTAATGTTTTAACATATTAAGATCTTGTAACTGTCACCAACTTGTCACGTCATCTGTTATGTAATTGCCTTGTTATGTAACTCCTACCGATTATAAATTATGGAATTTGTATAATATACTAACAGATTGAAACACAGTAGTATCATCAGTATTTATGAAAACCTGAAGTTGCAATATGTAACCTGTTGTTGTATACGCCATGTTAAATTTATTTTGTTATACTCTATGTGCCCGAAATGGTTTTGTCAAATAAACATACAAAGCATACATACAACGTATTCATTCCATCGGTTAATCAAATTTTATGAAAATAAGAAAGTAATTCATATTAAGAAAACTATAATTTGAAGAAAATACAATACAAATAACATACACAAATAAAAAGTGTTTGAACAGAGCACGTGTTTTTCACTAGAGGCGAGAAGTGCTCGAGGAAATATATTGTGCGGCAAGCACTACTCCTCCCGGTTCTTCTCATTATTGTATGCTAGGCAAAATTCTCGTCACAATTTGACCAAAAATTTTGTCACGTAAATTTGTTCGCTAATAGTAAGCTGCGTTCGTTGGCGTCCTCTCATTTCGATACGTCAATCATGGATTCAAACGGAAACATAGAAGGCTAATTTGACCTTAAGAAGTATGTTAAGAAACTAACTAGTCTATTTACATATACGTAAGCAACACAGTAATAGTGCCATCCACAATGAATGAGTTGTATTGACACACAAATTTGATATTAATCGAGAGAAGATGTGTCCTCCATATTCCCATGTATATCAGGATCGGTCGCATAGCCGCCACTCTTCTACTCTGCTCCTTTAGAACACCCCAAGCTACCAGGTTTGGGTCATTTCTCCACCGGCGTAGCATTTCTTTGGTTCTTACCTCGAAGTGAGAGTCAGATTTTAACACCATGTTCATAATTAGGATCAAGATGATGGAAAAGGTCGGTCCTAACATGTAGATATTGAATGGCAGCATTGCATACATCTTGATTGACATGATGTTAAATACTACGATAACGATGGCTACCCCAAGTGTTGCAAACAGCGTTAGGGAAGCGATTAGGGGAGCGGCGGAAAGGAGAAGTACAACTATTTGGTTGTACAGAACTACGATTGCCCTATATTGAGAATACATATACATTTTTTTAAGAGGGGCCTTACAATTTTTTATAAAAAATTACCTTCGTTCCTTTCTCAACGCAATCCACATTCCACGTTCCTTGTAGTCTGCATCAATCACGCCAATGTTATGCTGCATTAGCCAAGTCACCATTACAAACACGTACCCCATGCCAAGCAGGATTTGTCCCGCAAATACTGCTGCCAGTGTGAGAAAAGTGAAGGAACAGATCTTGATACAGAGTCGGACTATGAAATTTTCATGATACATCCGAAACCAGTGGAAGATGAAGTGGAATGGATCCAAGTTGTTGTACAAGGCGAAGCTAACTGCTGCCGGAGCCATGTAGACAACAAAGAATGGGATGACACATACCACGTCAACGAATAATTGCTTTCCAAATGAGATTTTTTTCTTTTTTCCTTTCCCTTTAAAGTTTCTCTGATCGTTGCATTTTTCCATGTCGATAGCTATTTAAAATTTGAAATATGTCAGAAACTAACTTAAATTTTATAAGTTTTATTAAGCAAAATGTCTTGTTTTAGCTGTAAGTAAATATTATGGATAATTTAATGTCCATAATTTGTGAATAATTAAACAAGCGTTCAGGCAATTTTACAATTTCAGTCTAGACAATTTGTTATAATTTTCGTTGACAAGGAAATGCCCGACAATTTTTTATTATGTATGACAATTTGACAGGTAAAACTTACACCAAAAATTGAAAACGTATGTAAATGATTACAACATTCGCAACGTAATAAAAGACTTACAACGCCGAGCCAGATCTTCCTCAAGGTTGAGAAGTTCATTTATTATTTTACAAACTTCCTTGTTGAATAGATATGCAACCCCTATGAAAACAGTTCCACCACCGGATGTGATTATTTCCATGGCGATAGAGAAAAGCTGCATTGGTGAGGCAAACGGTTCCTCCGCGGTCTTGGGGAAATGACCTAATTCGACCCAGCGGTACGTCAGGTACAAGACTTGTAGGAATTTCGGCCCAACAACGAACACCCCCATGCAGACGGAACCAAATATGCAGCCCAGTAGTTCCTTAGTATCGCTGATCGCGAAGACGCGACGAGTTTTCGGATCGAATTCGACAGGTAGGTGGGGCAGCCGACGGTATATTCTGATGTATGAGTCTACAATGTTAAATAACAGATCCATAATGGCGTTTAACGTATCCTGGGAATCTTTCCATGAAAACATCAAGTTTGTACGGACAACTATTTATACAATAACTCGTCTTCTGAACGAAGGTTTGACATTGATCATCGTTCATGGAAACGTAAGCATGGGGTTTGGCTAATACATAATTTATGAAAATATTTTATATCAACATATTAGGAGGAGTATGAGCTACATATAAAATTTAAATGTAGCTCAATATAAAATTTATGAGGGATCACTAATTTCTTTAATGTTGTTTACAATTCCACATTTTGGTGAAAGCAAGAGGGTCCATATTTTTTATAACTTGGTGCCCCGTGCCAGAACGTTCATGTCTGTCAGCGGTATATATTCATAGCAATTTTTTTATACGTGAGAAAATTAATGATGCATTTATGATGAAAATCTAAGATAAAAATACATATTTAGCAGCATAAATATGTATGTGGCATGGAAAATACCTACATATGTAGCAATTAATTCATCGCTATTTGTTGAATAGCCAAAACTTGAGCAATCCATTTTATAAATCTTGCTGGACAAATCTTTGTGTTATGTATGTTCATAGCGATCTGTTATTTATGTGGGAATGGATTTATTAGTGCACGTGTAGCTTAAATTATCTACGATTTATTGACATCAGAATTTTTTAAAAGAAATATGGATTAGTCAGTATCGATACACGTGTATATGTTTCTTAAACGTATACGTCTTGAAAATTTACAAATGCCATTATTCCATTAAAGTTCTGTATTAAGCATGTATGCAGCACTGAACAAACAAAATATTTACCTGCTTGGAAAATACAAGGCCAATTCTGATTATTTATTAAATCGACTCAATTTGGGGTAGATACATATGTGTGGAGGCACGCACGCATTTTGTTTAACTTTTTTTTAATGCAATACACAATACCGTTTTTCGTGAATGGAGTGAAAATACTGCAAAATATTTTTCAAACTTAATGCACAAGAAAAGTAAGTGGATTCTGAGGCGTCGACAGG